GTAGGAGGGGGTAGGGAGGGGGTGCGGGGACCCCCCCCGGGGCCAAGGGAACTGATGGAGGGGTTGGAAGGGAGAGGGCGCCCGTGCCCCAGCACCCCATGGCAGGGTTGGCGGTGCTGTTACTTCTTGAACATATCCTGCAGCGGCCCGGGCAGGTACTTGAGGACGGTGTCCAGGATGCTCTCTTCCTCCTCCTCTTCCTCGTCCCCGCAGCCTGCCGGGATGGCCTTCTTGGGGCGCGTCAGGCTGCCCTCACACGGCTGCTCCAGCGCGGCTTTCTCCTCCGCCTCCTTCTCCTCTTTCTTCTTCAGCCCGTACTGCGAGGACACGGGCTCTCAGTGGGGCAGGCAGCGGGGTCTGTGCCCCCTGCCCACCACCACCCTCCTCCCCGGCCATGCCAGCCCCACGCTGGGTGCCGTGGGCAGGGGTGGGTGCAGGGGGAAGTGTGTGCCCACCTTGTCACGGATCTGCTGCCGGACTTTCTCCCGCTCAGCCTCCATGCGGGCGTGCTTGGCTTTCCGCTCCTCCTCCTGTTGGCGCAGGGCCTCCTGCCTCTCCTCCTCCTTCTTCTGTGCGTCGGGGTCCTTCTCCTCCTCGCCCCCCAGCATCTTCCCCATGTCCTTGGTGGCCCCTGTGTAGCACAAGACCATTGGCCGGTCCCCAAGGGTGCTGAAGCCCGGCACTGGCTGCCAAATCCCCTGCAGGGGCAGGGAGGACACAGAGCCCCCCCAGGCATGGACAACCCGGGAAGTCCCCAGGGCCCCCTGCATCAGGATGGGCTGCAGATGGGCTCCGGAGGCTGCGGGGATGGGGAGTGCCGTGGGCTGGCTGCGCTGCCCTAGTTCGCTGTCAGCCGGGGGAGACGCTGGCAGCTCCTCCGGCGCTGGCACCCAGGGGACCCACCGGGGAATCCCACTTAGCGTCGGGAGAGCCGGGATTCCCCAGCCAGGCGCTGCCGGCGCCGGGAACGAAAGCCCCAGAGGGTTCTGGCACCAGTTCCCTGCAACCGGTGGCTCTCCCCACAGCTCCGACCCCCCCCTGCCATATCCCCCCCACCGTGCTCCCCGGGGTGCCGGGCTAGCATCGCTCCCGGAGGGGGGACAATACCCACTCACCGCCCAGCGCTTGCTTCATGACGAAGTCCATGGTGCCGGTGTGTGCGTGTGGCTAGGCCAGTGCCCAGCGCTCAGCCACTGCCGTCCGGGCTCGCTGACCAGGGCCACCTGCGCGGGCAGAGAGGGATGTTGTCAGGGACACCATGCCCCAGGTCCCCACTGCCCGGCCACGAGAGTCAGGACATTCCCTCGGGCTGCAGGATGCACCCTCTGCATCTCCAGCCCCAAACGCCTTCCAGGATGGGCAGAGGAAGCTTTTGGGGTCTGCAGGTAAAGGGTGGGCAGATCTGCCCGCTGGCAGCACCTCTTCCCCTTGGCACTCTCCCCGCATACCCGCTGGCCTTGGGGACCTGTGGAAGGACTTTCCACCCTGGCACTGCCCTCGGAGGAGCAGCAGGACCCTGGGAGCCCCAGGGTGCTGCCTGGGGGGTGGTGGGATGGGGACCCACCACGCCACCACCCACCGTGTGTCTCTGCTTTGCAGGGGGGGCACAGACCTTGCCTAGGGATGCCAGTGTGGTGCAGCTGGACACGGGGTGCTGTGTGCGTGTGCGTGTGTGTCTGTCGCAATGCTTGTGCTCTGCAGAGGGATGGAGAAGAGGCTGTTGGCAGGTTGTGACAGCGTTTGGGGGTTGTATGAGACCGTGTGTGTGACCCCTGCGGGGTGCTGGGGATGGGTGATGGCACGCAGGGGCACTGCGTGCGCAGGACAGAGCGTGTGTGTGCACACCGTGTGTGTGTCCGGCTGTGTTTGTGTGCGCTGCGTGTGTGCGCCAGCCGTATGTGCAGGCTGTGTTTGGTCAAGAGGTGTGTTTGCGGGTGGCTGCAGGCTGTGTTTGCACGGGGAGGGGGGTGTGTGCGCGCGTGTGTGTGTAAGTTTGTGGGGCTGCGAGCTGCGTGTGCCCACACGGTGTGCGGGTTCGCAGCCTGTTTGCAACCTTTGAGTGTGTGTGTGTGTGTGCGTGAGTTTTGGGGTTTGCAAGATCTGCGGATGTGTGTGCAAAGGCTTGCACGGGTGCGTGTGTGTACATGGGTTTGCGGGTTGTTTGTGTGCGCTGTGTGTGTTTGTGCTGTGTGTATGTGTTTGCACACTGGGAAGGGGAGGGTGTGCGGGCTGTGTCAGTGTGTGCGGGTCCGTGGGTTTGCAGGCTGGATGGGGAGGGGGGTTCTGCACACAAATTTGCAGCCTGTGCTGCCTGTGTGTATGTGTGGGGGTGTTGCAGGCTGTTTGCATGCTCTGTGTGTGTGTGTGTGCATGAGGGGGGTTGCGGGGGGTGTGTGTGTGTGTGTGTGTGTGCCCGTGCCCCCGGTGCGCACTATGTGTGTGTAGGGGGCTGCAGGCTGTGCTCACAGCCTGGCTATGCTGTTTGCAGCGTGTGTGCATGCATGTGTACGTGTGTGTGTTTGCACGCCCAGTGGGTGCCGCAGCCTCACGGGTCCCCTCGCCCGACTCCCCGGGACCCTACCGGGCAGCGGGGGGGGGGGCTTCACGAACCGGGACCCCGGGAAGTTTGTTGCTCCCAGCCCTGGGGCACCCCGCAGCACCAATGGGGTCCCTTCTCCGGAGCCCTGGGTCCGCAGGGTGGGGGCACGGGGGACACGGGAACACTGGGGGGCACCGGGACATTGGGGCCGCGGGGGAGGGTGCAGGGGACACCGGGGGCTGCTGGCACACGGGGGGCACCGGAGCCGCGTGGGGGGATAGGGTGGGCACAGCAACACCGGGGTACGTGGGGGACACTGG